AACCTAGCAAATACTTTGCACTTTAGGGTGAAATCACTTCTGCTTATCTACTAATGATAAAAACCATAGGAACTAAGGATAGCGATGGTTCAAAGAACTAGCACTGCATGGGAAGATAAGAGAATGAGCTGGGGTCCAGAAAAATCCACATAAGAGTCTTGCCTCTGATTTAGACAAGCCATTCTTCCAGCCCCAGCCTCCCATCAGCCATATGGGGACAGCAACACCTGTCTAACATTAGAACTCTAGTGCCTGATTGCATCACATCTGCCAGCTTCCTGTACTTTGATGTGCCAGTGGCACTACTGAAACTAGCAGACAGAAACTGGTCCCACATTAAACTGGGGGGGGGGGGAGAAACCAAAACGGATGTTTGATGACAGCATTCTAGATCCCCCATGGGTTCACATCACAATGAGAGCCACTTGCCAGCAGGCTTCTTTATTACAGGAGACACTGTAGCTTTCCTCAACTAAAGACAACTGTGTGGAATTCAGCTGAGATGGAGAGAACTCAGCCTACCTAGGGCACCCACTGTACTCTGGCTATAGCCCAAGTCTCTAGGCTTTCCACTATGCCATTGACGGAAGCAAGAAGAAACTCTAGGACTCCACAGCCTGCTTCACTGGTCTTGCAGGACACTGCATCCAGCAATATAGCATTTGTTGCAGCAATGCTGGGAGAAGCAAGAGGGGAGATATCTGGTCCTCCCTACGGTGGTTTGATTTCTTCCATTTTACTTTTTATTTAGTAGGTTAAATTTTGGGCCATTTAATCATAAAATTAATCACTTTCGCCTTCCACACTGTGATGGAGCCAACTATGAAGTATGAAGGAGATTCTCTTTCCCAGTAGGTTGATCTTGGGATAGTCCAGATAAAGATTACTAATGAATATTATTTAGACCACCCAGAAAAAGAAGTTTGTGTGTTAGGAAACACAGTTAACTCTGAAGCAGGAAAAACAATAACAAAATATGGGTTCTTTCCCGTGCACAAAATCCAGCGCTTGAGAAATTCAGTTAGACATCTCTAATTCTCATTTTATTGCCGGATGACCTGGCAGGGTCTTACTAAATAAGGCTACCAAATTACATTTGGTACAGAGAGAACGACCTAGAAAACAATGTATTAAAACCTCCCGTTAGCAAGTTCTTCTGACTTCCTCTTTGCATATTGCACAACCCAGTTAGCTAAAGAACTCCTCTCTAAAAGTGAATACATGAAATGAACATTGCTTAACTTAAATTCTCATTTTTCAGTCATTAGGATTTTTAATCTCCGAATGAGAACTTCTGAGGACAGTCAAAGGACAGCAAATTATGTTAGCTTGGGCAATGACCCATATTCATGTCAGGAGAGTTGGTGATATTTCCCCCCTAAATTAGGCTCCCTTAGTAAGAAACAAATCGGGGACAAGTGAGGATGATGGTAATGAGATCTCAGAGGTACACCATTAACAAATCCTAGGTCAATCTGCTGTGCTGACTATTATCAAATAAAGTCTACAACCAGGTGAGATAGTGATTTATCAAGAGAGCCTTGGGGATGCAAGGAACGTTCATTTAGCTATGGACTAAAATAAGTCTGAGAAAGTTAACACTTGTTGATTGATGTTGCTGACTAGGTAATTAAATGGTGAGCCTTATTGTGTCTGCATAACTGTTGGGTGGTTTGTTTGTTTTTTTGCTGTTTCATGTATTTTGCTGGGAAGCGGTTTTAGCCTGTTTTTGTGTGAACCACCTTGAATCACTGTTGCAATAAAAGACAGTGGTGTTGAGCAGAAACAGGGAAAGGCTAATTAAGCATTCGACTCAGTGGTGGTCATCAAAACAGCCTCAATGGAGTTAGAAATTCTGCCTCCAGGACCAAAGATTTATGATCAAAGAGTGCCATCCACAGTAAGACCAAAATAAACATTGGCGGTTACGGTTGCCAACTCTGGGTTGGGAAATTCCTGGGGATTTGGGGATGGAGCCTGGAAAGCAGCCTCAGTGGGGTAAAATGGCACAGGTCCTACCCTCCAAAGCAGCCATTTTCTCCAGGAGAACTGATCTCTGCAGTTTGTGGGGGTCTCCAGGCCCCACCTGGAGGCTGCCTGCCAGAAAGGTTATAACATAGAGTTGGATTCATTAGTCACTACCATACACTATAGCTTCATAAATTCCCAGTTTATTGGACCAGTACAGTATTATGGTGAGATCAAGCAGGGAGAATGGATTGCTGTCTTGCATAACATTTTTCTACCTTAATTTGAGAGTTTACACATCAAAAATTGAGTTCTTGCGGATTACAGAAAAGATCACAGAGATGATGTCCTTGAGGAACCAATCTAAGGGTACAAAGTTCCTTTCCCCCCCTCCCCAACTGCAATAAAGGTTCAAGATCACTTCTTTTCTACAGAAGTATGGAGCTAGAGATCTGTGGTACAAACATTACAGAATTCTTTTCTACAGAAGTATGGAGCTAGAGATCTGTGGTACAAACATTACAGAATTCTTTTCTACAGAAGTATGGAGCTAGAGATCTGTGGTACAAACATTACAGAATTCTTTTCTACAGAAGTATGGAGCTAGAGATCTGTGGTACAAACATTACAGAATTCTTTTCTACAGAAGTATGGAGCTAGAGATCTGTGGTACAAACATTACAGAATTCTTTTCTACAGAAGTATGGAGCTAGAGATCTGTGGTACAAACATTACAGAATTCTTTTCTACAGAAGTATAGAGCTAGAGATCTGTGGTACAAACATTACAGAATTCTTTTCTACAGAGGTATGGAGCTAGAGATCTATGGTACAAACATTACAAAATTCTTTTCTACAGAAGTATGGAGCTAGAGATCTGTGGTACAAACATTACAGAATTCTTTTCTACAGAAGTATGGAGCTAGAGATCTGTGGTACAAACATTACGGAATTCTTTTCTACAGAAGTATGGAGCTAGAGATCTGTGCTACAAACATTACAGAATTCACTGATATTTTTGATAGATGGGGACCTTTAAAGCAAAGAACCTTAGTGAGAATGGGGAGGGACCTAGGCACTTAATTATCAGGTGGGCCCTCATGTCTGACTTCCTAATCCAAATAAAGTGCATCCAAACAGTGTGAGATGTCAAAAGCTTGTCAAAGAACTAGGCAGATCCGAGGATGATTTAATGAATTGGGAAGCCAGCAAGCTCTGAGAGCCATTATTTATGACAAGATCATCTTGAAAATGTGCCAACACCCCCATCAAAATGATATTCTGGACAACTACAGGATGGCTTAATAAAAACAGCAGACAAAGGATTTCCAGAATACCTAACCAATTTCCAAATAACTGGACTGCATGAATCCAGGTCTAAGGAAATACAACTGAAGACTTGTCAGCTGTGACTTGACAGCACATTACACACACAGGTCCTCGGTCCATATTCTCTTCTCTTATTTGCCCCATCCAACGGCTTACATACTGTCGCCCTTTGCCCCCTTCCCTCTCTTCAAGCCTCTGGCCACAATCCCAATCAAGCTTTTACCTGCCCAGGACTCCTGAAAGTTGTGAAGTCCTGTTCAGACGCATACAATGCTATCCCTTGGACTATCTTTTTGCATTATTGGCTGCCTGGAGACTCCAAATTCTGCCTAGAGAATCAGACCCGTGAACTGGACTTGCTTGGATAGGTAGCTATAGCCTCTAGTTTCCCAACTCACAATACCTCTTTGGCCTCTTGTCCCACTCTCTTGAGTGGAGTTGTTGTTGTTGTTCAGTCGCACAGTCGAGTCCAACTCTTCGCGACCCCATGGACCAGATCACGCCAGGCCCTCCTGTCTTCCGCCGTCCTCTGAAGTTTGCTCAATTTTATGTTCGTTGCATCTATGACACTGTCTAACCATCTCATCCTTTGCCGTCCCCATCTTCTTTGACCTTTTGAGTGGAGTACCTTGTGTATTATGCACAGGTGCTTGAGATATGTGTTGCCTTTCAGTGGACTTCTTATTGTTGTGTATAAGTATTGAATGCCTGATGTTATTTTAACTGCTTGAGCATGCTCATTGTCCAGCCCAGATATTTGGATTATTCCCTTTAATAAACTCCCCCCCCCCAAAAAAAAAATCTGGATTCTCAGTATCCCTTCCAAGTTAGTACGGAAGGATGACCACTTCTTCTCTTCTTCTTTGTCGGCCGATCCCTTGCAGCTGTTTGTGTGAGTCAGTGCCCAATTTGAGGGTTGCTCCTTTCAAGATGGATTTAAATGCTAAACTAGAATAAACTTTTAACAGGAGAGTGAGTGGCAGCAGAAGGAAGCTTTCTTCATTTTGCTCAAGCTACTCTGGTGTGGTTTGGGGCTGGATGAGAAAGTGGGTCACAAGGTCACTGACACCCATCTAAGTGAACACGTTCCACTGACCACATTCAATAACAAAACAGAGTCCTAGTGAGGGGCTGTGGCTCAGTCCTGGTGTGGGTTGGTGAAAAAGCTTCTGTTTTGCATGCAGGATCCCAAGGTCAATCCCCAGCATCTCCTGTCAAAAGAACCAGGCTGCAGGTGATGCGAAAGACCTCCACCTGAGACTCAGGAGAGCTGCTGCCAGTTTGAACAGACAATACTGACCTTGATGGATTGATGGTCTGGTTCAGTATAAGGCAGCTTCATGTGTGCTCATGTTCTTGTACATCCAATGACCCTTCCCCCATACTCATGCTTTGTTTAACGGAGACTCGGCTCTGTGAAGGGCTTTGCTGAGATGTCACTCACACAGCTGGGGATATGCTGAAATGGATGCCCATTCTCAGACAACTGACTTAGATTCACAAAGGAATCTCTGAATACCACTTTCTGTTCCCCATACAACCTCCCCCTTTTCCCTCTCTCTACTTGCAAATCACATTCACCCAAATGTGATGACCACCGAAAAGAAAGAATGCTGAAAATTCTCTTTAACCTGGATAATTTGAACACAAGCACACAATTCATTTTCCAGTGGGTAATACAGTCTCTTGGCAACAAGTACTCACCTAAAGAAACAACAGCAACACTCTCTGGCAAGAAATGCAGCCTGTATCTTATCAATAAATGCACCAATATGATGCAGATACCTGGAGGGAAAAATAAAACAGTGTTGAGGCACAGGTAGAACATCAGCAATAACATAATCCAAATATCTTGTGCAATTATCTAGTTACATTTAAAATTAATATCCATGTTAAATAATAAAGGGATTGTTTATTTATATGTACTCATTTCATCTAGAATATTTAAACCGCCAGCCTTTCTCCTGAGCATCTCAGGAGTCAAGGCAGGTAACAATTATCTAAAAACAACTTGCTGAACTAAATATTAAAACAACAGGAATAAAACATTTAGAAACCATCTGAAAAAACTTTTACTCAGGCTGCCCCAAAAGCTCTTCAGAATAACTTTCTTTGGCAGCCTTGCTGAAGACCAGAATTCGGTTTTGCAGGTTTTAAAAATTCCAAGCAAGTGGGCCAGCTGGTCAAGATAAATGGCAGTTCCTGCCATTTTATTTATGCTTCTGTTATGACTTCCTCCAGTGTCACTGAAGTGGCCAAAAGATATATTGATGCTCCATATGTGCACTAGGGTTTTCCTGCTTCCCACTACAAACTTATGCCAACTGGTAAACCACTTCTGTGGATCAGGGGACATTCCAGGACAACATGTATATTGGGGGGGCTGCAGCCGGGGGAGGGGGGGACTGCCCTGTGCACAAAGGCAGGCACTTTCTTCTCGGGCAAGGAAGCACTGGATCCAAGCCTCCCTTGCCAACAGTGAAAGTTGCATCTACTCTATGTAGATAATTTTGACTAACTTGTCTATGAGCACTAGTTTCATACTACTGCATGGCATGATGTTCTAATTAAGAATCCAGTCTTGCACAGCCTTGCATCCACACAATATCTTACAGCATGGCATAGGGGTTGAAAACCAGGGAAATCCCCCGTTTGAAACCTCCATTCTCCACCATTCAGCTGAACCTCCTAACAGGACTACTGTGACAAAAAAGAATGGAGGAGGGGAGCACCACATATGAAGTCCTGGGATGAAGGGTGGGAGGAAAATGCAATGAAGTGTCTATAAATTCCTAAAAGCATGGCCATGCATCATAGTTCATAAACAAGACTGAACCTAAGTGAACAATCTAACCAAAGTTCGGCATTTTAAAATCCTATTGATTTTTACTGAAGTGAATTAAGTATGTGCTTAACTCTCGCACCGAAATCAGTAAGACTCTGAACACTGGGAGTTAAGATATGCCTCCTTAAAATTACAGCTGGCAATCAAAAGGAAGCCTGATCAGACATCAGGCTACCCCCTACTCCATGAAAACCAAATTCTGTTGTGCTAAACACATTAAGGGAAACATGCCACATTTAAAAAATGTGTTTCAGGTGGAAAGCAGTGTGAATCTGCTGCAGCGGAACAAAATTCAAGTCAAGCAACACCTCAGAGACCAACAAAATATTCCACAGTATAAGCTTTGATGAGTCAAAGCTCACTTCATCAGATACTGATCTGATGCATCTGACGAAGTGAGCTCTGACTCATGAAAGCATACGCCCTGGAAATTTGTGCTGGTGTCTATGATGCTATGGGATTTGAACTTTTACAATGTGTGTACAAGACAGGGTCATGGAATGTCTGAAGACACTCATATTTTCAATGAGTAGTCAGAATATGAGGTGGGTGGATTCCAGAGAAATTCCTGGAAGTATTGTGAGATACTGGTCTTGTAGCTTTTGGAATTCTATAGATAAACCCGAAGCGACTGAACTGCACCTGTTAAAAACAAAACAAAAGGAAAATACCTACAGGTGCTATAAACAAAAGGGAAATATGTACCAGTGGTCTATTTTTAGAACCAACTCAGCCAGATTTTGAGTTTCTTCAGCACCTTCTCAACAGCACCTTTCCTTACAAGCCTTCCAAAAGGAAACTCAACACTTTTTTCTTCAGCTGCTTTCTACATCTGTTTCAACAATAAAAGCGATCCTTTTCAGTACTTTCTTTTTGTAGCTATTTCCCTCGCAATTGAATCTTCAGCTATTTTCAGATTTTTTAAATGAGGGAAAGGTAAAATTGGAAGATGCATTCAGCATCCAAAAGAGTCTAATTATCCCTCCCCAACTCTACTCAGAATCAGTGGACAACAAACCAAAATCCTGATAAACTCAATCTCATTGTGACAAGAAAACTGATTAACAGTGGATGTACCATTTGTAGAAGCTGGACATCTGGACAGCTAGAATCTATCCAATATGGATGGAAGCCTTTGTTATATTCAGAGCAGGTCTGCACACCTTGTGTCTTGCTAGACTCAGCCCAGCCTTCAGATAAGTGCTGGACACAGCTTCTGTTTCTGCAGTCAAGAGCATGCAGCAAACAACAGGTGGTTTATCAGGTCCTTGGAAGACTGTGACTCAGGTGGCCCACAAGTTGTGCAGGTTGGTTTCAGAGTCCAATTTTATTTCAGGCCTACTTCCAGAATTTCAGAGCTCTTCTCTCACAAGTGAATACAGGTCCGCTTTTGGGTTTCTTAACAACCAGCAACCCAACAATAATCTTGTTCACTTCTAGATTGCTGAGGAGTCTTCTCAGGCTTGGCGAAAGACAATCTAGCCTGGAAAGCAGTGGGTCAGCTGTTCGTGCATCAAACTCGCCCTGAACTGCCATGCAATTTCCACTGGGTTGGATCCAGACTAATGCAAGGGAAGTGGTAATTCGCATCAATTCCACCTTCCTGCTCCAGACTCCCTATTTGCTCCCCATGGCATCCCTGGGGGTCCCTTGTACCCCATTTCAGGGAGATCAGTGGGCTGTGGCAGAAGGGAGGCAGGAAAGCTGTATTCTACTGACAAGAGTGCCTTGCACAGTTGGATATTTTAGTCTGGATCCAACCCATAACGAATATGACTTTGGAGTCCCCAATCCGTGTGCGAGTTTCAATAATACATTGATCTGTATTCCGTCCAAAGGAGAGACACGCTGATACGGAGGCGTCAAATTGCGGAAGAGCCCCTGCCAGTAAATCTTGATGGCCTGTGGTTACGTGCCTCACAAAGCTGGAGTACAAAAGTAATTATGACAGTCACCTCTGTACTCTGACATCACAGCACCCAGCAACCTTTGGCGGCTCTTGACACCCTGGGTCAACATCATATGAATTTCGTGCAAATAGAACCTGTTCTGATTAAGGGGCCAGAAACATTTTCCTAGCTGAATCAGGACTGTCGTCTTTTGTTCAACACCTGGCTGCTATGCACTAACAGTCTGATCCTACACCCAGCTGCAAGCAAAGGCTCTGAGTGGAGGACAATTAACCACTGTGCCAGTGCAACGTCATAATTGTGGAACACCACTTGCAAGCCAGCACAAGTTGCCGCACCAGCAAACAACATGAAACAGTGCCACATCGCCAGCAGAGCCAGATGTCTAACAGCTTTGTGTAATGCTGCTATAGCAAAGAAATGGCCAGGGACAGGAATATGACAGCTTGTCATCCCCACACTTTCTTAAAAACACCAAAGAGCCACTGCAGTTGTGTAACATCAGATATGCAAGGCTAAGCTGTTTGTAACAGCATTGCAAGCAACTATTAGGCAGCACTGCAAAACAGACATGTGAAAGCCACTATGAGTGCCTTGTGTATCTACAGAGCCATGGTGGCACTGGTGTGCAATGCTGAAGCCAGCTAAAACACCAAAAGTCCTGGATCTAAGTGCACAGTTTGGGGGCTGTGGCTTAGTTGTCTTCATCACTGCAGGGGGAAAACCCCAAGAAGAACTGCCTGCCGTACCCTGAAGAGAAGCTTTATTAGGCAAGAGATGCATTAGCTGCCTGATGACAGTACTGCAAATATAATTTCAGAGGGTAGCCATGTTGGTCTGCAGTAGAGCAATTAGATTTGAGTCCAGTAGCTCCTCAGAGACCAACAAGATTTTTGGGATATAAGTTTTCGAGAGTCAAAGCCCTCTTTGTCATATCCGGGTAGGAATAAAGAGCTAAGTCTTCTCTTCTCCATTCCCACTCATGTCCGACAAAGGGAGATTCGACTCTCGAAAGCTTATAGCCTGAAAATCTTGTTGGTCTCTAGGTGCTACTGGATTCAAATCTTGCAGATATAAGTTATTTACAATGGAGACAATCCAATGAGACAAAAAATATCTTTTATCCTAGAGTTCATTACAGTACTTAAACATTTGCTCCTTTCCCTATTGAATACAGAGAATCTGGTTGGAAGTATCTGAATAGAGAAGACAAAACTGCCTGGGTGTCGAGCACGCAACAGGGCTGTTTCCCCCCTAGCAGTGGACACCATCCCTTTTCAAAGAAGCAGAAATGGTTGCTTTCTGTGGCCATTTTTGTCCTGCACATTTTTAATGGCATTCTTGGAAACTGAGAAAATGACTGAATTGATACTCAGGTGGGTCCATGTTTCCCTCAGGGGGCATTCACATGGCTCTTTCAACCATTCACTTCAAAGGAGACTGCCCACAGCCAAGTTGGAAATTAGCCCCAAACTCCTAATCCACTCGTGAAACAAAAGGGCTATATGCAAAAAATGAAGGCAAACCTACAACCCTGGAGCAGCAGTAAACGGGTCCTCACTCATAATATGAATCCAGCCACACAGTAGGGATATCAAGGGTGTACACATGCAAGTTGAATGGTGGATCAGTGACCAAATCACCCTTCTGAGTTACCTGTCCCTTTTGTGAGAAGGACTGTCTGCCCTTTCTATCTTTGTAAGGAGACTTATGATATGCATATACCTCCTTCACCTAGTAAAAGAAGGCAGCTTCAGGTGGGTAGCCGTATTATTCTGCAGTAGAACAGCAAGATTCAAGTATCTGACAAAAGGACTCTCAAAAGCTTATATCCTGGAAATCTTTTTTGGTCTTTAAGGTGCTACTGGAGTGGAATCTTACTCTTCCACTAAACAAAGTTTTTAAAAAAGTACTGCTCTAGATATCGGGGGCGGACAGCGTGCTGGTAACGGCACAGGCACTATCCAGTAAGCACCCATCACAGTCACAAACACAGGATGTGTGTGGTTTTGTTCAGAGAAACCCCTCAA